TGCTGAATAACCTCTAGCCATATGAACCTGGAATATGAGTCTCATTCCCACTTCAAGGCCTTTGTACTTGTTTCCTCTGCCTGGAGTGCTCTTCCCTCATATCTTCATGACACTTGTTCATTTACATCTTAACTCAAAGCATACCTCCTCAGGGAGGTCTTTCCTAGACACTATCTGAGGTACACTCCTGCACCCCCAGCCTTCATGATTGCTCTGTATCCCATTACTGGGTTTTGTCTCCAATAGAACTTATCACTTATTACTGTCCAAAATGATTTCATTTATTTATGATTTTTTTAGCCACCTTTTTCTTATATAAATAAAGTTCCTGAGGACAGCGAGTTTATTCTGTGTACTGCAGTATCCCTTCCCTGACATCAGGGCCTGTGCCTGCCTGTAGTAGATGCTTTCTAAATATGTTCTGAATATAGAGAGCTAGTTCCCAAATGCACTGTATTGAACATGTATGAAAATTGGAAATTGGCTTCTAGATTTTTATATTATATTGCCAAGTGATGGAATGTTGAGACTGAAATCTACTACTTTTTGCCTTTTTTTTTTGGTGGAGCAGAGGAAGGCATGCACAAACATCAGACACACACACAGTAAATAAGATTTGTTTCAGCCTGCAAGTATTTATTGAGTGCCTGCTGTTTATGGCTTAACATGAAAATTTGGGGAAAAAGTCACTCTTTGTGAGTGACTAGTTTCTTGGAGTCTGTTAAAGCGTCGGTTTCAGCATCAGTTCTCTATGGTATGATTTAATGTTTCTTTTTTTACTTTATAAACATGAGGCTGCCTTCCATTATTGTTAAATTTAAATGTTTTACATTGGAAAAAAGTAAGTTGAATTTTGAAATGAGGTCTTTCCCAGTCTCACTTTTATGGTTTCAGGTTATCAAAGTTTTAATTTCTCTTTGTGTGGAAAGTAAGTATAATATTCATTTATAAATTGCTCCTAAGTAAAGCCACAAGTCTCGAGATTACTTTATTTTTCTTTTTTAAAAATTAGAATTGTCAATATATAGTTGTATACATTTATGGAGTACAAAGTGATGTAATAATATATGAATACAATGTAGAACAATTAAAAGCTAGTTAATGTATCAATTCATCTCAAATATTTAACATTTTTTGAAATTTACTCTTAGCAATTTTGAAATGTGCAATTCTCTATTATTAACTATATTCACCACACTATGCAATAGATCTCAAATATACAAAAAAAATGTTCTTCTTGTTTAACTGTAGCTTTGTATCCATTGACCGTCATTTCCCCATTCCCCTGTGCCTGTAACTTCTGTAACCGCCATGCTCCTCTCTGCTTCTATGATTTTGAAGGTTTTCAATTCTATGTGGAAGTGAGAACATGCTGTATTTGTCTTTTTGTGCCTTATTTCACGTAGCATAATGTTCTCCAGTTCTGCCCATGTTGTTGCAAATGACCGAATTTCTTTCTAAAGGCTTAATAGTATTCCATTGTGTGTATCTACCACCTTTTATTTATCTATTCATCTGTTGATGGACACTTCCATAACTGGGCATGGGAGTACAGATATCTTTTCAATAAACTGATTTAAAATCTTTGGGGTAAATACCCAGCAGTGGGATTACTGGATCATGTGGTAATTCTATTTTTAGTTTTTTGAGGAACCTCTGCACTGTTTTCCACAATGTTGTAGTAATTTACATTCCCATTAACAGAGTAGAGGGGTTCCATTTCTCTACATCCTGTTTACTCAGGCAATACATTATCATCTAAGACTTCAATATTATATAACTTTTGAGTATTTTTTAAAGTGGACACTCAAGTCTTCATACAGTTGTTAATGTGTGGTTCATCAGACCTGTGGTATTGACGTCACCTGGGAATTTGTTAGGAATGCAGATTCCCGGGCCCCCTATGGGCTTAGTCAAAAATTGTGGGGATTGCGTCCAGCACTCTTTTTTAAAAAGTCCTCCAAGTGATTCCAATGCTTACTAAGGTTTGAGAACTGTGGCTCAGTAAATGTTAAAGGTTCAAGGTAGCGTGATCCCACAAATCAGCCAGGTGGCATTAATTATTAGCCTGGTAAGCCCACCTTCTTTTCAGTCACTGAGTGTGATTGGTTCACTAAGGCTAGGCTGTAAAGTTATTTGCTAGATTGATTGCTACATATTGACTTTGGGTTGTTTGTATTTCTCTAAACCTGTCACTATAATGATTTGCCAGGACGCTTAATAGGAACAGGCCGTGATTTTTTGCACCCATGGCTTTCTGCGTCATGGGTGGCTGGGTCCTTATCCACTCCTGGATAGGTTTCCTCAGGTACTGAGCATGCCATTCATGAACTTTTAAGGAGGGAGCTATCACTGGTGGATCACAGGGGACCTTCAGGGACATTTAGTTCACTTTCAGCTTGGTTTACAGGTAGGGAAATTGAGCCCCCATGAGGTTGTGCTTTGCTTGCTGTTAGGCGTACAGACAGGATTTCAGGTCTCCTGAGTTCCTCCACTGCATCAGGTTTCCTGCAGGGGGACAGAGCTACAGCTTTTTTCGTGCCTACAGTACATTCCCTTCTTACTGTGAGGGTTTTATTTATTTATTATTTAAATAAAAAAAGTAAATAGAAAAAAGCCCAGAAGTTCTCACTGAAGCTAATAAAAGTGTCTAAAGAGAATGAAAAAAAATCAGTTTGAGAACTTTGGTATGGAGGAAATAACCTGACATTAAATGTTTTAATTATAGTTGTTGCATTGGGCTTATCAGTGTGGGAAGAGGGAGCATTTCAGCCTTACAGGGAAGTGGGATATGGACAACAAGATGACCCTCTTCCTGAATTTGCCTGCTTGGGCCTGCAGCCTGGTGACTCTGTGTGATCCCAGCAGCTGTCAAAGAGATGGGTTGGACTTAGTAGAGACCTGGGTCCCAGGCCCAGCACTGCCACCACCTAGTGGTGCAATGTCCCATAAAGAGGCCTTTTATTCTCCCTGGCCTTCACTACTGGTAAATAGGTATAATAATATCCACCCTGCCAATCCTGAGAAATTTCAGGTAGTGGGAAGCAGTATATCTCTGTGGTTAAGAGCCGAGTCTCTGGATTCAAATTCTGGCTTTCTAACTCACTGATATGACAGTAGGCAGGCCACTTATCCTCCCTGTTTTCTCACCTGAGAATGGGTATAATGAAATTTACTTACGAAGATTGAATTAGTTAGCTAATTTATGTAAAGTACGTAGAACAGTGCCTGGTATTTAGTAAGTTCTGTGTTAGTTCCTATTATTATTACTATTACTATTTAAAAATATTATTTTAAGGATAGGATGCATTTTCTATAAACATATTCTCAAATGATTCCACTAATGGATACAGTACTGGGCAAATAAAGGGCTTTTATGCAGTAATTGTTGGTGAAGGAGCTCTGACATCCAGCTTACACCTGGGCTGCTGGTTTTGATGCCAGGGATGGGCAGGCCTAGAGTCTCTGATTTTGCACAATTTATGCATAGAGTGGTGTGGCTAGAGGAAGCTTGGAGGTGGGAACGTCTCAGTTTTGCTTTCAGGTATTTATACATGAACTGTCATAAGAGGTGGACATCTTAATAACCTTCAAGAAAGAGTTCATGAGCTTCAATTTTGATATTTATTGTTTGACTAGGTTTCTTTCTGTCTTACCTTTCCAGTTGTTAGGATTCTCAGTATGTGTCTTGTTGGTGAAAATTTCAACTCCAAGAGCTAAACAATCAAGATATTGTAATTATCCAGGAAATGATTGGTGGATTTTGGATAGACTTCTTCCATTCCTGACTGAAATCAATGAAAATTTCTACTATTGCTGTTTTGTTCTTTTTTTCTGAAAAGTCTGTTTTTGGGAGGGACTCAGATGGTAAAGTGTCTTTTCATTGTCTTTTAAAGGGAATGGGGGAATCACAAGTTTGAGGATTTTTGTTCTATCTGTATGTATAAAATTACCTTCTCCTTTTAGTTATTTATTTATTTATTTTATTTTATTTTTTTTTTGAGACGGAGTTTTGCTCTTGTTACCCAGGCTGGAGTGCAATGGCGCGATCTCGGCTCACCGCAACCTCCGCCTCCTGGGTTCAGGCAATTCTCCTGCCTCAGCCTCCTGAGTAGCTGGGACTACAGACACGCGCCACCATGCCCAGCTAATTTTTTGTGTTTTTAGTAGAGACGGGGTTTCACCAGGTTGACCAGGATGGTCCCGATCTCTTGACCTCGTGATCCACCCGCCTCGGCCTCCCAAAGTGCTGGGATTACAGGCTTGAGCCACCGCGCCCGGCCTCCTTTTATTTATTTTGATACCCTCTCTACAATCTCCATTCATGATCGACTCCCCATCTTTTTATAGGGCCCTTAAAGTAGAGATTATGTTTTATTTGCTTATCTATGTCTTACATTACTTCTTTTTACTGGATCCTAATTTAGTGCCTGGAAATACTAGGCTCTCAACTTCAGTTTGTTGAATGACTGTTATTGCCATTTCTGATTACTTCTCCAAGTGGTCTTTTTTTTTTTTTTTTTTAAACCTTCAAAGCTACTGCAGAAGTGGTCTGTTTTAAAACTTCACCTGAAAGCTAAGTAGTTATTCAGTATCATGGTGTTCTATTATTTACCTAGCATTTTCCTAAACATTCATTAATGAATCCTTATAATACTCATCAGAAGTATCTAAATCCCAAGATGATCTGTCATGTCATAGATGGTAGAGCTTTAATTTTTAATTGGGAGATGGAGATGTTACAGCTGGAGGTATTGAAACACAGGGAACTAAGAGCATTGTTCAAGACCACAAAGGTGGTTATTATTGGAAGATACTTTTGGGATGGGCTTCTGTGCTAGAAGCCAAAAAAATAAAGAACTGACTAAAACTTTAAAAAGAAACCCAGATTAGGTGGGAAAGAATGTTGATCTGGATTGGATTACATTTCTTTGGTGTCTGAGCGTTATGATTAGTGACTTATTTCTAATGTGCATTTGTTTTTATTTTTAGCATTGCAGTGTCGAGATGGCTATGAACCCTGTGTAAATGAAGGAATATGTGTTACCTACCACAATGGTACAGGATACTGCAAGTAAGTTTTTCTCTTCGTATATTTTCTTTTTAAGATAGAACAACTGGACAAGATTCTATTCCTCTAGTTTTAATGCTTCTGTGGAATGTTACTGGTTCTTGAGCTTTCCTGGTACAGATTTTGGTTGGGGGTGAGGATGGAAGGATGTGGATGCCCGATAATTGGTCAATAAGAACTTCTTACTATCTTACTGTTATCTTTCTCATTATGAAAAATACTTTTCAGTGAGTGGCTGTTTAATATATACTGGGTAGGCTGGGTGCAGTGGCTCGTGCCTGTAATCTCAGCACTTTGGGAGGCTGAGGCAGGTGGATCACAAGGTCAGGAGTTCAAGACCAACCTGGCCAACATAGTGAAACTCCAACTCTACTAAAAATACAAAAATTAGCCGGATGTGGTGGTGCCTACCTGTAGTCCCAGCTACTCAAGAGGCTGAGACAGGAGAACCACTTGAACCCAGGTGGCAGAGGTTGCAGTGAGCTGAGACCATGCACTCCAGCCTGGGCAACAGAGCGAGACTGCATCTCAAAAAAAAAGATCAGTCCATCAATCAATCAGTTTATCTACCAGATTCCCTTGTGTTTTTCAGTTTAAGGCATACTCTTAGAGTCTTCCCTTACCATGTTAGCTATCATCTTGTTTTTAAGTAAAACCAAATCGATACCAATTTTAACATTCTGCTCAGTATATGTGAATATTATACTCATATTTTTTCTAGTGTAAAAATATTCTGAAAATGAGAGTGAGAGAGGAAGATGTATGC